AAAGAATGTTCCACCTTTTGGATTTGTCTTGTTTTCTTCCTTGATGTATCATTTAATTAATCCAGCCCCCTATATTTCTTATAAAAAATGTTATAAAGATGTAATCCCATTGTTTTTTTTCTTGGTAAGGGTACTTGTGGCTGGTGCTGTGTTTCTTGTGGCATTGCAATAGGAATACTCAGTACTTTTTGTGCCTCTTAGTGCTATAAAGACGATCAGTAGATTGAGATGTATTTAAGTGGCCTCCTGCACCACAGATTGCCACAGTGTTAACAGACATTTATCTTAAGAGATCTGAAGTCAGAATTCCTAATATCAAGTTGTTAATAAGGCTGTGTTCCTTCTGGAAAATCACTTTCCTTGCCTTGTCCAGCTTCTTGAGGCCATCTATACATTCTTTGGCTCTTGGTTCACCATGTCTCTTTCTTCAAAGCCATTAGCATAGTGTCTTTCCCTGTTCTGTCCCTCTCTTTTCCTCCTTTTGAAGCCTCCCTCCCTTCCTCCTTCCCTCTTCCCCACTTCCATCATCTCCTTTTCTCCTGCCTTGCTCTTTCTCTTATAAGGACCCTCATGATAACCCCCCATCTCAAAACCCTTAATTTAATCATATCTGCAAAATCTGGTTTCATATAAAATAACATTTTCACAGGTTCTGGAGATTAGGATGTCAGCATCTTGGAGGGGATCATTTTTCTGCCTGTCTAGGTGGTAACAGCCTGAAGCCTCCATTGTAAAGGTTTTTTTTGGGGGGGAGGGGCAGTACTGGGGATTGAACTCAGGGGTCTCAACCACTGAGCCACACCCCAAGCCCTATTTCGTATTTCATTTAGAGACAGGGTTTCACTGAGTTGCTTAGGGCCTAGCTTTTGCTGAGGCTGGCTTTTGTTATCCTCCTGCCTCAGCTTCCGGAGCTGCTGGGATTACAGGCGTGTACCACTATGAGTTTGCTATTAATCTTTCACTTAGAATCCATTAATGACTAGTATGAATCTATTCATTAAGGTTGTGAAATGATGATTTTCTAATTCTGATATTTCTAAGGAATTCATGAAGTAAGACCATTTGATTATCTACATATGGTTTAAAATATTTTCCCTCATAATTTCCAGTGTGAGTGTGAATCAATGAGGGATTTGGGTTTGTTTTCTTACCTTTTTTTTTTTTTAAGTATTTTACTGAACTCTTTTTATTGTTTCGATTTTTAGAGTATGTTTTATTCAGTTTGCATCTGTAAAAAAAATTGTTCCTTTAGCCCCTTCATATTGGCTTCTGTATCCTTTTGATACRATCCTATTAGTTTTGATAACTTCTTCATTTTCTCGCACCACAAGATGTCCTATCTTTTTTTGTT